TCTCCTCTCCTCTCTCTTCTCTTCTCCTCTTCTTCTTCTCTCTCTCGTCTTCTTTCTTCTCTCTCTTTCTTTCTTTCTTTTCTCTTTCTTTCTCTTTCTTCTTTCTTTTCCTCTTCTCTTTCTTTCTTATCTCTATCTCTTCTTCTCTCTCTTTCTCTTTCTCTCTCTCTCTCTCTCTCTTCTCTCTCTCTCTCTCTCTCTCTCTCTCTCTCTCTCTCTCTCTCATCTCTCTCTCTCTCTCTCTCCCTCTCTCTCTCTCTCTCTCTCTCTCTCTCTCTCTCTCTCTCTCTCTCTCTCTCTCTCTCTTTCTCTCTCTCTCTCTTTCTTTCTCTCTCTCTTTCTCTTTCTTTCTTTCTTTCTGCTCATCCGTCTATCGTCTCATTTTATCCATTCCTCTTGTCTCATCTCCGCAAAACCGAACGAAAAGGAGGAAGGAAAAATGACAGAAGAGCAAGGTAGGTGGGGCGCGGGGGAGGGTGGGGTGAGGGGGGGTGAGGGAAGGGGGAGGGGGGATGGGGGTGTGGTGAGGGAGGGGTGGGGGGTGGGGGTGGGGGGACGTATGTTGCCCGGATGAGCATTTTCCACAGTTGACACCAGGCGGCCGATATCCCCCCCCCTTCTCTCTCTCTTTCTCTGTCTGTCTTTCTCTCTTTCTCTCTCTTTCTTTCTTTCTTTCTGTCTTTTTCTCTCTGTCGCTCTCTTTCTTTCTTTCTCTCTTTCTTTCTCTTTTTCTCTCTGTCTTTCTCTCTGTCCTTCTCTTTCTCTCTCTCTCTCTCTCTCTCTCTCTCTCTCTCTCTCTCTCTCTCTCTCTCTCTCTCTCTCTCTCCTCTCTTCTCTCTCTTCTCGCTCTCTCGCTCTCTCTCTTCCCTTTCCTCTTTTTTCCTACTCTTCTCCTTTCTTTCTACTTCTGTCCACCTTTTTCTCGCTTTCTCTCGTTTCCTTTCCCCCCTTTTCCCTTCTCGCTACCTTCCTCTATTCCCTTCCTTTTTCCTCTCCCCCCTCTCTCAACTTCTCTCCTCCTCCTCCCTCCTCCTTCCCTTTCTATTCCCTTCCTATTCCCTTCCTTCTTCTTCTTCTCTCATCCTCTTCCCCTTTCTCCCCCCACACACTCCTCTCTCCTCCCTCCTCCTCCTCCTCCTCCCTCTCCTCCCTTTCTTCACCCTCTCTCCTCCTCTTTCCTTCTCCCCTTCCTCCTAACTCCCTCCTCCCTCCCTCCTAAATACTCCCTCCATACTTCTCCTCCTTTCTCTCTCCTTCCTCCTTTTTCTCTCCTTCCTCCTTCCTCCTCCTTTCTCTCTCTTTCCCCCTCCTTCCTCTTTCCTCCTCCTTCCTCCCTCTTCATAAACCCCATCACCCATACCTCTATATCCCCTCCCCCTCCCCTCCCTCTCAGCTGTACAAATGTGCAGGGAATTGTCGGTGGAGAGGGGTAGGGAGGGGAGGGGAGGGAGGGAGGAGGGAGGGAGGGAGGGAGGTAGGAGATAGAGAGGGGGGAGGGAGGGAGGGAGGATGGAGAGGAGGGGAGTGAGTCAGGCAGGGAGGAGGACGTAGAGATAGAGAGGGGAGGGGAGGGAGGGAGGGACGGGTGAGGGGGCAGAGGGAGGGAGGGAGGGGGAGAGATGAAGAGGGTAGGGAGGGAGTAGGGGGGAGGGAGGGAGGATGAGAGAGGGGGGAGTGAGTCAGGCAGGGAGGAGGGAGGGGAGGGGGGGGAGGGAAGTGTGTACGTGGCAGACGTGGAAGAGAAGTTCATGGTGTACACCAAAAATTTCGTACATGAGCAAGGAATGCACACGAAGTTTAATGACGTCACCGGCGAATGACGAAAGCAAAACGCAGACTATAAAGTGATGAGTTGTAAATGTAAACTGATGAAAAAATAAAAAAATGAATAATGAATAATGAATGATGGATGTAAAAAAAAATAAAAAATAAAATAATTATGAATGCTTCGGCTTCTTTATGTGGCACAGCGCGGGACTCGAACGCGCAGGGGGAGGAGGAGGGAGGGGGGGGGGGAGAGGGTAGGAACGAGGGCGGCAAAAATGGCGGAAATTTTAGCGGGAACTAGAACAATGCGGTCGTGTGCACAGTCGCCGAGGGGCAGACGGCAGGGCGAAGCTGGAAGATGTACGGAAAGCTAAAACCGGGGAGGAGTTTGCGGTTATATATATATATATATATATATATATATATATATATATATATATATATATATATATATATATATATATATAGATAGAGAGAGAGAGAGAGAGAGAGAGAGAGGAGAGAGAGAGAAGAGAGAGACAGACAGACAGAGAGAGAAGAGAGAGAGAGAGAGAGAGAGAGAGAGAGAGAGAGAGAGAGAGAGAGAGAGAGAGAGAGAGAAGAGAGAGAAGAGAAGAAGGGAAATAATTGATGAATGGAATAGGTATAAGATGTACGGAAAGCTAAACGGAGGAGGATTTTGTATTTTTTTAAATAAATGGATAAGGAGACAAAGATTGATGGATGGAAATAG